CCCCCCCAGCCCCACCCCTTTCTGGCTAACCTGGGAAAACCGGCTTTGCTTCCTCACCACACCTTCCCCCCTCTCCCCATGGACTGTTTCTGAAATTTTCAACTGCTAAACCGGATCAGTTTTCCAGGGTAACCTTTCTTCCCACTCCTCCCAGTCAGCTGGCCGTGGCTGCTTCCTCTTTCCTAGCCCAGTTCTTCCCCATACCCGGAAGCCTTTTGTAATACCCTTCATCTTAGGGCCAACAATGGAGGTTTGAAGGGCTCTGTGAGGAGCCAGAAAGAGGCCTGCCTTGTGGGGAGCCCTCAGCTGTTACCAAGGCGGAACTAGGAAGTAAGAATAAGGCTGCTAGATATTTGCAAGGCTCTGGGGATTACAGCATAGATATTTCTAGATCTGCCAAAGCTAGGAGGACCATGAATTCGAATAGGGAGAAATAAGATAAGTCAAAAGTCTCAGAGACTCTCTTACGCCAGCAATCCCAGTGGTGAAAAGTGATGTAGTGTCTCCCTCAGAGGGGTTTCCACATTTACCACGGAAAGTGGCTTCCTCTGCAGAGAGCCCCTGGGACAGAAATGATTGACGGAAAAGATACTCTGTTAATACTTGTTAATGAGGAAGACACACATACCACCAAGGGAACAGCATTAGTTTGAACAGGCACGGAACTGGTCCTCAAGAGCCCTCCAGAGGTACTGGTTCACAGAAGGTAGGAAAATACTACAGTTCACGAAGCCTCCAGCCAGTTAGAGTCTGAGAGAGAAAGGAAAGAGTCATTATGCTAAAATGGTAGTTCCAGGTTTATTTATTTAATCTGTATGAGTGTTTTGCCTGCATGTATGTATATGCATGAAATGTAGACAGGGAACATGGAGATCAGAAAAAGGTGGCAGAGTCCATGGAACTTGAGTTAGGGATGGTTATGAGTGACCACGTGGATGCTGGGAACTGAACCCAGGTCCTCTGCAAGAACAGCCAGTGTTCCTAATCATTGAGTCATCTCTCCAGCCCCTAAAAAGACTATTTTCGATTGAGTAGATTTTACTCTGCAGAAGGTTTTAAGATAGCATCGTGGCGTGGGTGAGACACATCCAAACACATGCCACGGAGTATGTCTTCTTCACGTTGGTCATTTTCTGGGGATCTCCCAGTCAAGAGACCTGTGTGTTCTGAGGGCATATGAAGAAGCAGTCTCTTAGCCCTGGCACCAGCAGATTTTTTTTTATGATCAACATAACATGAGGCTGATGTCACTGATTTCAGAATCACATTCCAAACACTATCTGTTAAAGGGTGTGGCCTTCGGAACATCTAAATTATCTTAAAACTCGTGTGTAGATGGTGCCTCTTCTTCATCCCACACGCAAACACACACACCTACATGTTTTTAGAACACATGCTAGCTGCACAGCTAGATCACCTCTTGTGAACTTGAGTCAAGATTATCCTTCTACTCTGTCCCAATGGCCACTGGCTGTCATTCTTGGAAACATGCTGCCTGATGTATCTTATCTGCTCAGTAGTTGGCAATTGTAGAATTGAAGCATGGTTCGATGAACAGATGAAGGAAGGAAGGAAGGAAAGAAGGAAGGAAGGGAGGAAGGAAGGAAGGAAGGACATTTTTTTTCTAAAGACAGTTTAAAGACTTCCTTAAATTCTTTTTTCAGTTTTATTTATCTTATTTTATGTGTATGACTGTTTTGCCAGCATGCAGTTATATGCTCCACGTGCGTGCCTAATGCTCACGGAGGTCAGAAGAGCATGTTATATCCCTTGGAATTTGAGTGAGGTTGTGAGCCACCATGTGGGTGCTGGGGACCAAACCCAGGTCCTCCACAAAAGTAGTGAATGCTCTTAGCCCTTGAGCCATTGCTCCAGCTCCGAGTCTTCTTCAACAGTGACTAGGGAGTCCCTTACAAAAGAGCATGCCCTCTGCGATGGATCTTTCAGGATGACCTCAGGAGAGGTTATGAGGACTCAGAAAAGCACATGTGATGTGTCTGCTGCCTTCCCCTTCCCTTTACTCCATTGTTACCTAGTGTTGTTACCCACCTTCCTGTGGGCTGGTGGCAGAGCCACCACCACACCTGAAGCCAAGCCTTTTGCTTCACTTCAGTCTGCTCTAGTTTGGCTTAGATCTGTTTCTCCCCAAGGTCTGTCCTCTGGTGCCCCAATTGCAGGGACTCTGAAAAGAAATATGCTGCTACCTTCAGGCAGAATTCCTAGCTCTAGAGGAGCCTGCTTCCATCTTCTCTATCCCGTGATGCTACATAGTTGGAAAACCTCTCTGACCTCCGTGGATACAAAGGAGCCTTTCTCTCTCACTGGGTGCCTTTCTCACTGGGTACCTTTCTCACAGGGTACCTGTCCTCAGGCAGACTCTTCTGCCCCCTCATCCTGTGCTGCCTTTACCCCAAGGCAGGTTCTAGTTCCTGGCATTGGCACTTGCACTGACCATTCTGTTTTTATGTCTGAACTCTATTTAGTGGCTGAGGAAGTTTTATGCCCCTCAGTGTTCTTAGTTTCTCCACAACCAGGACCAACTTGAGTAGAACCTCATAAACTGCTGCACAACGATATAGGAAACTGGCCAGCTGTGAAAGACAAAAAGAGCACTCAGGATTTCCAGTCTTTCCCAGGATCTCCCACTGGCCCCAGAGGGCTGCTGTTCTCTCCAGGATGAGAGCTGGTCCCTTTCATCCCAGCTGCTTGATTGGCCACTAAATAGTGTAGGAACGCTGCCTCTAGGCCACCCCTCATTCACGAAGCAATGCAGATTGACTACATGGTGGTCAGGCCTTCCCTGAGGTTTCAGGTTCAGTTACTCCCTCCACTTCACCTCCACTGGGGGGCGGTGGGAGTCCCTGATTGTCTAAAGAAGATCATGTGCAATTGCTATTCCCATTGGGAATCTGCTCACTTAATGTGCATTCACACTGAGAAACAATGAATCTTAAAGAGTATGCCTTTGCCTGTTCCCTGATTGCCAGGAAGAACAAAGAAAACCCGAGTGCTGACTGCTCAGTTCAGGCTGTCAAGATTTTTCTAAAATGAGTTTCTATGACTCTTGAGTCTTCCTTTGAAATAAAGCAACAGAAGAAAGAAACACCAGATTCTCCAAGTAAGTGTTGGATTCTCCTGGCACTTGACCTAGACCTAGACGGGCAGGAGAAGATAGGGCTGTGATTCTGGGGCAGGAGCTGAGGGAGCAAGCGTATGAACTCAATACTAGGGAGTTTATACACAAACTCTAACCTTGGGCAGGGGAAGAGCAAGGTGTGAGAGGGAGATACTTCAGAATCCACAGCCACAGCTTGTTTCTTAGCCAATTTGGCCAGCACCTAGGATTCCTGATTTTTCTCTCCCCTCTACTATTTCCTTTGGGACAGACCAATCTCAAATTCTCCCTTTCTCTCTCCATCTCTGAAGAGCTGAATAAAAATCTCAACCTAGTTTTTCTTGCTTGAAGGTGGTGGAAGAGAAAGGCAGACTTAGTTAACCTCTGGGCTAGTGTTTTATGCCTTTATTAGTTGGGTTACCCTGGACAAGTTATCTCACCTTTTTAGTCTTCAATGTCCTCATCTTTAAATGAAATTTACTCTACTCATGGAATTGTTACAAAGATGAAATGAAATGATGCTTCAAATACTTTGAACATCTCCTTCTGTTGACAATGCTCCTCCTAACATTTTTGACCTATGTGACTGTGTTAGCTCCCTTACTTATTTTTACCCAGCTTTCAGGTTTACCTTTTATCAACTTTATCTCAAGTTATTAGGTACTGACAATGGCTATATAATCTTTGCTTTATAAGAACAGGCTAAAGTCAGTGTTAATCATCCCATGACCTGAGCATGGCCTGGTTAAAGAAACAGAGACAGGGAAATCATCAACATAAAGATGAGCTGTGCTGTGTTACAGTCCATTGACAACTATGTGCAGTGCTATGGAAAGTCACTCTTAGAAGATGCTATGACCAGGTCATGACCTGATCACACATCTCCACTGATCAGAGATGGGCTCCTCTGTGTATGGATGATCAAAAGATACAGAGAACTACACAGAACATTGGAAGCTGAGACGGTTCAGGCTGATGAACTCTCCCCCAGAGCCTTCATTACCCCGTGGGCTGTTGAAGGATGAACAGAAGGCTAAACGATTTCTATAGATTGTACCTGTCATTCAGTCGCCATGAGAGCTCAGTGTGGTTTGTATGGCTTATGACTGCTGTTCCCTTCTCTTAGGTATACAATTGTGCTTCTTCAGCAAGTTCCCACAGAGTACAAGGCACCCTCGTTAGACCCCAGGTTTGAAATCCTGACTCAGTGCTCTACTAGCCATGTTGATGATGTTAGAGAGTTTCTGAACAATAACTGTTACCATTATCTTAGCCCTGATTCCCACAACAGCAGTGTAAGAAACAGACATGGAAGCTGAGGCACAGTCTCTTGAGAAGTTGCGAGCAATCAGGTGACAGACGAGATGCAAACCCGAGGCCCCTGAGATTCAGTTTATCTTACCTGTGTCTTAGGAATGATAATATTTGCCTTCAGAACTGTCATTACATGAGATTACCTATGCAAAGCAACTCTCTGGTGACTAGCACACAGCAATGGACGGCAGATAGTGAGTGCATTTTTCTTTAGGGTTTGAACCACAGCTATTATTAGAAACTCATTTCTAGTGACTCAGAAAATTCTTTCATTTTCTTCATTTTCGAAGCAGTCACTCATCCATTGGACACATAGTTGCCGAATGACAGTCAAAGGGCATGCATGAGATCCCAGCTTTGGGAAGTCTGGTAGAGAAACAGGCAGCATTTTCTGTGCACTTCCGGCATCTAAATCACATTACAGAAAGAGAATTTCCCACACTGGTCTGAGTAACAATCTCTTAGAGTGTTACCAAGGATGAGATTTTATCTTTACATTAATGTTTTCTAACTTGGAATTAATATTAATCCTAGTGACAGAATATTAGGAATTAATATTAATTTTAATGAGAGGAATAGTTAAGAGAAGGGCCTATGGACTTGCATTTCTAAGATTAGCCTTGGGTGATTTTTAGGGTCAGACAATTTGGGCAACACCAACACCAGAGTGTAAGTGCAGTGCATTTTGCTTCTTGATTACAATTGACATCATCTGGTGTCTTTAAAACTGTACATATCTGAGCTTCATGGTCATTTTTCTCTAGTCTTGAAAAATCACTACCGTAAAAGAAGTCTCAACTTTTAGTATCTGAATCCAGTAGGAAAATCTTGGTCCTGTGAAGTAATCCAAGTGGAAAGAGGTTCAGGTGGGTGCTAGGGTACCTAGGAAGAAGGTGATGTTGATGAGTTTAGGTGCTTTTGAGTGTGGGTGTTTGGCCTAAGGACACTGGGAGCCTTGTGATACAATTAAGTTCCATCTAAGGAAGGCTAAGTACTTCAACACACCCATGTTCCTCACTCTCCCTCCAGGGAATCATCAAAGGGCAGGCTCAGGCTGGTTTAGCAGGTCTGGGCCTACCTGGATCCAGTAGCCTAGGGCCAGGAGATGATCCCATGTCACCTTTCAAGACACTATCATGCCCATGGTATAGGGACTCTCTGTTGTGCTAAGTGATCATTTGCCATTTGCCAGTCTCCAAGGATCTTCTGGCTAGGGCAAATTAAAACCTCTGAGGACCAAAGTAATAACAAAATATAGTTTTCTGCTATTTGAAAAGAAAAACATGTCCCTCTGTCTCTTAGATCAATGATAGGTACCTGAAAATTTAACTGACAAAAGATAAATCAACAGGAGAAAGACACACAATTTTTACTGATGTCAATATTTATACATTTGCTTCATAGAAAGAAAGTGAGTACTCAAGGAACTGATTAGATTCAAGATATAATCCCAAAATTCATATGTAATTATGAAAGGCCAAAAATAACCAAAGTATTCTTGAGAGAGAGAGAGAGAGAGAGAAAAAAAAAACTAGATAAATAACACTACCTGTCTTCAAAGTGTACTACAAAGTTATAGTCACCACAACAGTGTGGTGCTGACATTCATAGGCTGATGGAATGGAGTAGAGAGCTCAGAAGTAAGTACACACACTTATAGCCAAGTGGTTTTGACAAAAGTGTGGAGATTGTACACTGGTGGAAGAACACCAGGGAAATGATAGGATTTTCAATGAACCATGTTGGGAAAACAGGATAACCACATGGAGAAGAACAAAATCATCTCAAAACCAATTAAAGAATTAAACATAAGGCCCAAACTCATGAAGATACCAGAAGAAAGTACGGAGGAAAGCTCATGACATTAGTCCTGGCAATTATTTTTCTTTTACTATTACCTCAAAGGCATAGCTCACAATAACAGATAAATGGAATTATACAAAAACTAAAAAATATCTGCCAAGCAAAGGAAGTTGGGACCATCTAGATAATGTAAGGAAATATATCCTAACTAGGAATCAATATTAACTTACATTAAAATTTGTAAGGAATTCAACTATACAGCAAGAAAACACCATGATGAAAAACAGTTAAGAGAACTGAATAGACACTTCTCAAAACACTGCATCTAAGTGGACAACAGACAGGTGAAAAATACACCAGTAATCATCAAGGAAGTACAAGTCAAATCCACAATGAAATAGTACCATGTCCCTGTTAGAATGGCTATTATCTTAAAAGCAGATGTAAGTGCTGATTAGGAGGTTGAGATAAGAGAACTTTAACATACTCTTGGTGAGAAAGTCAGCAAAACCTTCGTGGGAAGCAGTGTATGGTTCAGTTAACATGCTATGGGACATCTTCACAAAAATCAAATCAAATCAGTGTGTAGAAGAGATCCTCATGCTCCTGTACATCAGTTAGTTCTTTTCACAGTTGTTAGATGATGCTGAGTAACCCAACTGTTCACCAGTCAGGTTAAAGGATGGATAGAGAAAATATGTGGACACAATGCAACACTATTCAGTTAATAAATAAATAAGAGTTAGATTCCATAATTTGTGACAATATGGAAAACATCGTGTGGATTAACCAGGAATAGAAAAGCACCACATTGCCTCATGTGGAACCTGAAAGGGCTGAGTTCAGGAACAGGGAATATAACCACAATAACCTTGGAGATCTGTATGGCTGCTGGGGAAGGAGGGCTGGGAGACACTGAGGAATGTGTAGTTGTGGTTAAACAGGAGAATATTTTTAAATTGTGCAAATAATAGGCCAATATGAAGAGATGGGAAGTGAATAATTGGTTGGGGTTAGGGACAAGGAGAAATGCGATGAGGGAGGAAAATGAGCAATGATTGCATGGGTTCATGTTTATGCAATGAAATGTTCTAAAACATTGGGGTGATAGCTGCACAACTCTGGATACACTTATATATACATTATACTCTAAATGGGTAAATTATATGAGTCACATTTTAATAAAGCTATTTTTAAATAGAAGCAAAGCCAAAATGAAAGCAAAAATATTTTGATAGCTGGTTGAGTCTAAAGGGCTAACATGGTGGAAAGGGGAGGGTAGCATAAGTTACCTTGCCTCTCTGTACCTAACAATAAGGGTGGCAGTCAGTGCCCTTGCCAGAACAGGAATTTGTGCCGCCTCACAAAGGAAATTTTATGAACTGCTTTTAAATCAATAAGGGGAGGGCAGAGAACTCTTTCTGTGTCTATTGACTCTTAATTGCTTTTGGAGCAGCTGATCTCACCTTCACGGCCTTCCCCATTCTCCTTGTCTATATAATTTAAAGTTTTTTTTTTTAAGCCTCCTAAAGCTCAGTCCGAAATTCCTCCTGGAATCTGAGCTTCATCCACACTCACATCTATTTATAATTTCTGTGCTTTGCTTATGCCTCAAACACTGTTGACTATTTATTAGGAAATTACCAGCTACACCCCAGTGGGGTGGAGAGGGTTGAAGAGAGAACAGGATCCACAAAAATGCAAAAGCCCCAAAGAATTCAAGGATCCACCTAAGTTTAAGGGAGGGAGAAAGCATCCAACCCAACCTCTCCTTCTATAGTTTTATGGACTGAAGTTAAGAATGCTGCTCAAAGTCACAGATCTAGTTCAGTGCAGAGCCAGAACAAGAATCCAAAATCTCTTGTGTTACAGTCTAGAGCTCCCCAGTCTTAGAAACAGGCAGCCAAGGGGTTTCCGTCCAAAAGAGGAGGTGGCAGGGGATTTGAGAATGACAGGTTCATGGCAGATGGGTAAGGTGGGGCTTTGTTTTGGTTCTGGGGTGGAGTGGATTTTCTGGGCATGTGGAATGGCAAGGAGGGACAATAGAAGAGTACCATGGCCTGCACTGTCATGACATCACTCTGAAGAACAGAAATGCTAGTTTTACTGCTGTGTGGATGGGTTTGCAGGTGTGATGGAGGTGGGAACCGGTGAACTCTGCACAGGAATAATGAGAGAGCTGTTCACAATGGCTTACAGATGCTTCCTCGATAACTTTGAATTGTATGCAATTTTTGAAAACTCAAGTAGTGTATAGAGAAATGTACACAGATAATTACTTTTCACAAGATGACCTGTGTTTAGCTCTCAGAGAAAATGGCATCAGCTCCTTCTGAAGTCCTTTTTCCAATCGTTTGACTTTGCAGTCCTAGAATGTGTACTTTCAATATCTACTCCTGTCAAGATGGTGAGATTCATCCTCACTGTGTAGTTTTTCTCATCTCACAGCTTTGTGGTGTACATTATGGAATTATGTTATGACGAATTTGGCCGCATCTTCGCCAATGGAAATTTGGAGGATTTTCAGATGCAGTTATTAGAATGAATCCTATTACAAACATACACGTGTTAGCAGCCATGCATGTTCACTTCTATTGTGTCTAAAGAGTAAAGTTGCTGGGATGTGGATATATAAGCCTAGGTTTCAGAAATTTTTGAGTTTATTAGTTACATACAGCTTCACCAGCACCTGGTATCATCTGCCTTTTGAAAGTCAGTCTGCCTGGACTGAGTCTACCAGGTCAACCCCGGTCCTCGGGGGAGACCTTGATCTGGAGGAGGTGGGAATGGGGGGTGGGCTGGGGGGAGGGGTGGGCGAGAGGGGGAGAACAGGGGATTCTGTGGCTATTATGTTGAACTGAATGGTGTTGTAAAATAATAAAAAAAAAAAAAAAAAAAAAAAAACCAAAAAAAAAAAAAAGAAAAAAGAAAGTCAGTCTGTCAAACAGTGTGGTTCCAACACCATTTCATTCTAATTTTCATAGCTTGGTCAATTTAAGGGTAATTGAGACATGCTACAAAATGAACTCTTCCAGTGTGCAGACACGACACATCTCTATATTTCTTAGCTATATTTTAATTATGAATATCATGCACATCTTTCATTCCACTTCCTAAACCCACTGATAATATTTAATGGTATCTTTACTTTTATTTGTGTTAAACAAGTGAGTAAGAAACTAACCAAACTTAAGTACAGTTTCTTTTTCTTTTTTTTTATGGATGCATGCATTCATGTAACCTCTATCCATAGGACTGATGAGTTTTCTAGGATCGCAAGACGTTCTATCACATCAAGATTTCCAGTGGGGACTTTCCCCAGCAATAACCACCATTTGGTTATTAGCAGATCGTATCTTCTGACGTTTCATTTCATAACTCTGTTGCTAGAGTTTTCCGCCTTGCCCACAGTCAGGACAAATCTCTGTCACCCGCCAGTCCCACAGCCGCTCAGACCCAACCAAGTAAACACA